ACAGCAAACACACGCACCAACACCCGTCTGGCAGCGCAAGAAATGATCGTCATCCCATTTTTGCCCTGTTTCAAGGAGCAATTTTCGTCTGGGAGATATCCAGACCAAGATATCAAGAGACCTGGCACAGCCAGTCCTGCAGATCCATCTGCCAGTCCTGAATCCATCAGGTTCAGGAGCTTCCCAGAACCCATCCCTTGCATCTCCCTGTGCTCGGGCCGTCTCCTTCCTTGTCCCGATATCCGCATTGTCCTTGTGCCAGCTCCGTGGACAATCCCTTTTCCCACATTCCCCTCCATGCTGCTGTTCCACTCGCTGCTTAAAATCGATATAAAGAGTTTCTCACCCCTTCCATGTCCCTGCCTGTGAGCCTTGCCACTACAGGACACTCTGTGTTGCAGCATCAGTCACATCYCACCTGTGTTAGACATCAAGCAAACGGATATTTCACCTTTGAAGTTGATCTCATACTGCTAAAAACCTGCTTAAAACTGGGGAGCGCCAGCCTGGATCACCTCTTCTGACTGTAGAGAGGTTAAAGCACAGTCATTTGGAGACTAGAAAAAAAAGAAGAATGATCCATCAGGAAAAAAAAAATGGATTAAAGGACCTGCAGAATAGCATTTTAATCGCTAACCAGGGGGTAATTACCTAAAACTTGGAGTTTCCCAGTGCATTCCCACCTCCCACCAGGAGCCATTTCCTGGACACTGCTCCATCCTCATCACAGCTTTGCATCCCCAAAGTCCCACCCAACTCTGCAGTCTGTGGTGAGACTGCCTTCTTGCTGCCTTCTCATCCCTTCCACTCAGAGTTAGAGAACAACTCCACAGCTCCCAAAATGGTCCAGTTGTCAGCACCTGGGATAGCTTTCTGGCATTGTCTTCTACTGTAAATTGCTAGGATTTCCAAAAGAAAAGAGCACTCTCCTCACAGATACACACACAACATTAAAAAAAAAAAAGAAAAAAAAGTAGATTAAAGTAGTTTTGAAAGGCTCCGGTTTGGTTAAGAAAATAAACAACATTCAGACCTCAACCTCTCATGAGTGATRTAAGTAAAATTATGAGATGCTGCTGAATACATCAAAATTAATGTGGGGAGACTCCGAGGCAAGTGGGAGAGCACATGGACAGGGAGGGAGAAGAAAAACATYCTCAGCTTCTGGCAGTTTGCTTAACGGTAGTCTTGAGAGGGAAACCCAAACTCTGCAGGAATTCCTGGACTGTTGTCATCATTTCACAGCCCAGAAAATTGTCCMGCTTCCAGATCCTCAGGGAAGAAAACAAGTCCTAAAAGGTTTGGATTTTCTTGTTGCCTGTGCTCGAAGCCAGGCATGCCATTTTCTGCCCTCTGAGTGTGCCAGCCCAGGGAATGTGCACTGAGCRGGCACCTGAGCCTGGTTAGACAACAATGGCATTATTTGATTATTATCCACACCTCACCTGTAGGAGTCAACACTCCTGAACTCACCTGGGTTCCACAAATTCCAAAATAACCAATAAAACCTCCACAGGTGTGGGAACAGATCACCTGGTTACCCAGTCCATGTCCCTCATGCCACAGCAAGGAGCTGCTTCTCCTGATGAACAACAACTTTCACAATCACTTTGAATTCACAGCCGTTAGAGGATTATGTTAATTTTAACGTCAGTTGATGGCATTTAGATACAGAGGAGCCCTGAACGTTTTCTTCCTGTTATGTAATGAAGTTTTGCATTATTTACCAGTGTCATTAATTATGGTTCAGTTCAGGAAGCAGCCTCGATGTTCCATGGTAACAGAAACACGTAGAACTAAAAGTTGAGGGGGAAAAAACAAAACAAAACAAAACAAAACAATCCAAAGGTCAATCTGGGAAGGAAAAGAAAAGCCAGTGAGCAGGACACATAATAGAGTTACTCAGACTGTTCAGGTACAGCAGCAGCTGGAGGAAATCCTGATGGGAAAAACAGATTTTGATGGTGTTGTCACAAAGTTTAGGTTTAGTTAGTATTCTACAGTTTCATGCAGTGAAACTAATCACATCTCTGACAAAAGAAATGTACAGAGGGTATTGTGTTAGTAAGGAATTTGACTTGCTCAGGGGAAAGAAAAAAACCCAAACACAACAAATCAAACAAACAAAAAAACCCACAAAACAAGCAAAAACTCCAAAACAAACAAACAAGGAAAAAAAAAACACCAAGGGGAAAAAAAAGAGTATTTTTTTAAAGACATTAGGATAGGTGTGAGAACCTTCAGTCAAATAAGTTATGTGAAGGCAGAGGTTGTGTTATTGCTAAAGTGAAGTCAGTTTGTATGAGGATCAAAGAGGAAAAAGGATATGAGAAAAGGCTCTTAGAAGAACTTGCTTGAGCTGAGAGACAAAATACAGGTCAGCAGAATGTGTCACAATTTGAGGTGGATGCCACAGAACATAGTGAAAAAGCCCAATGAAGCTACAGGAATTTTTAAAAGAAAAATAAACTRGAAGTTGCTTGGGTCTATCTGCAAAATGCAGTCAGAAAGAGCCTGCAAGAAGGAAGAATCAAAGTGTGAACAAATTGTTCACGCAGAGGCCAATGTGACTTCCAACACCTCCTTTGGGCTTAGTAAACAGAAAATGATATTGAAAATAAAATATGGTTAAGGAGACMAAAGCTGAAGATACAGACCAAGAAAAAATATCCACAGAGCACACATTGAAATAAAACTTTTCCTTGGGAGTGGGTAAAGATAAAAGCTTCTTCCAATGGTGGGGATATCATGTGTAGACATTTCCCAAGTATTTCTRAGCTGAGCATTGGCACACCAATTAACGGGCCCTCTGACATTGSTGCAAGCCATCTGGAAGGAAAATCTAAACTTATTAAGAACAGATGGATAAGAACCAGGTCAGTCTTCCCTGTTGCTCCTATTTGTAAGTCAGATATAAAAGAAACCTTGTAAAGACAGTTTGAGCAGCTCTGGGAAATGAGGGACTCAACATGCCCTGAGAAAGAACAGGACAAATAGAAAAAAGCTGTTCCCTGAGATCTGTCTCCTCCCCCAAACCCTCAGCCCCTCATTACCCCGTGATTTGGGATCATTATTCCCTCTATATCTAGAAACAGCCTTGTTAAATAATGCAATTGTCGAGCATGCTATGCCAAGAACAATATCTGTGTTTTCTTCACCTGGCACCCATACAGTGGTCATGCCAGGTTATGGGGCTCAGGTTGATTTTTAAAGGTCTGAATGTTTTGGAAAATAATGTGTCATTCAGCACGCCCAATCAAGCATTAGGTTTCTGCAGTTTAATCATCCTGTAATAAATTCTGTCAAAATAGTTTAAAAGGTTCCTTAAAAATGCTGAGAAGTCAAACTCAGTAAATTAAACCCTTTCTCAACAGGGTAGGGAAATCTTAATTTTTTTTGCAGGACAAGAAAAAGTGAATGAAAAGCCARCAGATCCATGCTTGGTGCCTGCCAACTATTGCACATGTTGCTGTTGGTTTGCAAGCATTTCTCATCCAAAAGGGTGCTGAGGAATGTTTTCTGATCAGTGCTTGGAAGGCACCCAGGTACTCCAGAGGCACCAAGAGTTCAGGTTGGGAAGAAGCTTTAACAAATATATGATATTAAACAAAAGTCCCATGAAGAAATATCCACATATTAAGTTGATTTTCACTTTTACTAGCAGCTTCTGCTCTCAGTGCCTTACTGGCTGAAATATTCCCAAGTCTTTTAACTTTAGATTCCCAAATCTGTTTGGGCTASAGGTTCAGGATCCTCTTATGCCAGTTAAAAATCATGCTGCAGCCTGCTCAGCTCTTTGCTGGTGGCAACACAAGCAGAACGAGAAACCTCTCATGCTGAACCATATTTTGGGTTTTGTGGGGTTTTTGGCCAGGTCAGTTTTTAAGCAGGTGAATGCCCTACATCTGCTTCCCCTCACCCCAGCAGTGGTGTGGGGGAAACAGCAGCAGCAATTCCCTGGAGACAGGACTGCTCCTTCAGGCAGTGGCACAAAGRGAGTGACCCTGGGAGAGTGAGGGCTCCTCGGGGAGAATTTCCACAGCAGATCTGGTGCTCCAGCACCTGCAAAGCCCSCAGCAGTCCCACACCACTGTCACAGCTGCTCACACCAGACCCTGCCTGATCCCCTCAATCCAACACCCAGCACCTCATTCTGGAGGCAGCTGGAGGCTGTGAGAAACCCTCCCTGCAGTCAGAAACGGTTCTGACTTACTGGAAAACCTCATTTTCTTCCAAACTCTGCATGTTTGCACCTGTCCTCTGTTCTCTGCCTGGTTTTCTCTTTTTCAGATCAACAACCCCCCTCCTTTTCCACTGGCTCCTCAGCAGACTCTCCCTCACCTTCTCATGCTTCTGATGAGTTTGGCAATCATGCTCTGAAGCCCACCTTGCTGGAAAATTCTCCCACATGATCAGTGCTTTCTTCTGCCATGGAGGAGAATGGGAGATAATTTATGCAAGGGCATCACTTTTCTTACTGAGAAAAGTGTGTGGCAGATAACTTGCTGCTATTTTGGGGTTTTTTTTGGTTTTTTTTTTTTAATATACCATATATTATATATTCACTTTAAGTGACTTTTTTTTACTTCCTGCATGGAAAGTTCTCTGCTCACCTGTGGCTGACAGGACTAGATAATCAATTTGCAAAAGAACAGGCTTTAAGGTTCTGCAAAAGCAGTGAGACATGGCAGTGCATGAGTTAGTGCAGCTCAGGGACTTACAGCTGTCTTTCTGAATTTTCCAAGGGCACAGACTGTGCCTGAAGATAGCAGGTTTTAGGAAAGCAGATGAGATCCTTGACACACCCCTCCTCTTGGTTCCTCCCACCAAGTGAACCACTTGGGGCTCCTCTCCTGAATTGCAACTTATACATCAATGTTTTAAAATAAACCATTCTTTTTTTTTTTTTTTTTTTTTTTTTTTTTTTTTTTTTTTTTTTTTTTTTTTTTTTTTTTTTTTTTTTTTTTTTTTTTTTTTTGTTTTTAACACTTTTTTTTTTTTTTTTTTTTTTTTCTATGCTATCAGTCATCCTAGATATTATCCCATTATCCATCAAGTACCATGACCACAATTCAAGCTCTCCCCACTGGAGCACACACTACTGGGACACTTCTCAGTCCCCCAGGGAAGCAGTAATTCAGAACAGCAGCAGGATGATTTAAAACAGCCACCAGCAGGGTGGGAAGGAGGTGGCCCTGCCAGCAGCCACCCCTCCCCATGCCCCTGTCTGTCACCACTCCCTGCTGCAGGTCCTGGCTCTGCAGCCCTGCTGGGACACTGCTCTGGGCCATTATTCAGCTCACCACGGACTTCCTCACTGTCACATCCCTGCTTCTCCTGCCCTAAATCCAGTGGGGACAGATGAAGGATAGGGTGCCACAGGGACAGGCTGACTTGACACAGCAGAACAGGGTAAGAGCTGTCAGCAATGTAACCAGGAAACAAGGAAATGTTCTTTGCCACCATTAATTACAAGATTCCTGCCATTTACTGGAAAGACAGGCCGTGATTCCTCTCTTGTGCACCATGATGCAGGTACTTTCACTTTTCCTTCTTTCACATTCCCTGCCCAGTGTCCCTTGGGCATATCAGCACCATCACAGGCAGGAATCAAYCCAAAGTGACCACAGCAGTGGACCAAGTTAATTATAACTCAGATGGTGTCACTGCATGAGGGTACACCTGCCAGGCAGGTAGGAATCTGTTCCAGGTTAGAGATATGGTCAATGATAAGATTTAGTACTTTTTCTGGGGAAAGAATAGCCCAACAAAGAACAAATGCCCCCAAAACCATCAGGGGATTGATACTAGTTCATTGCATTACAAAGTATCCTAAACCTACAACTAAAATTGTTCAAACATTTTTTTTTAAAAAAGTGTACTAAAGAGTAATTTATTCCGTGTGAACTGAAAGGAGATTGCACCGCTCGTTACAGGAGCACACAGCGGCTCTCAACACTGTACTCCAAAATGTAGGCAGGGTAAATCTGCTGCTTCTCRAAGATGACAAAGATGGAAGGGTCTGTGGGGTCGTCYACGCAGCTGTCATAGAGTCTGTTGGAATTGCTGGCTCTGGCTGGGGGGCGGCAGAACTCGGGGTGTCCCTGCACAAAGTCCCCAACRAGGACCTGAGCCACGAACATGCTGTAGCGCCCGCTGCGGGACGAGCAGTACTCGTGGGAATAGCTGGCATCCCGGGCAAAGTAGCTCCCTAGGGACAGGAAAAGGCACAGGTAAGGCAATGCACCAGCTAAACAGGGACAAACACGTGCCAGCAGCCCTTTGGCAGCCAGCCATTCAACAGCCCCAGCTAGCCCTACATGCATTCTTGCCAGGTGCTCCCATACTGGCTTATGGTAAAGCACTGGCAAATTCCAGCCACATCTCATAGTCAGCCTCCCAATCCCACCTGTCCAAAAGCAGGTACCTGAGGCAAGGAGAGGGTTTTAGCCCTTTSTGGAATGGGATTGTAGCAATGCAGCTGCACACAGGTGACAGTGCCCCCATGGCTGGAGTGCATGGCTCAGGAACCATCTGTCATTGCACACGCCCATCCCTCAGCCTGGCTGGGGTCTGCAGCCCCTGCTGCTACAGCCCCTACACCTTCTGCACTTGTACCTTTCCCATACAACGTCCCATGAGTCCCACAGAGTCTCCAGTCAAAGTTCTGCTCACAGATGGCAGGCACGTGGGATGGATTTGTGCCATGGAACAGGAGCCGCTCRTCCACCGTTTTCAATTTATTGATCTTCTTCATCTTCTCTTTTTGCCTGGAGACAAAGGAAAAAAAAAAAAGAGAATGACTTGTTATCCTGGTTCAAACAAGGACAATTTCCCAACTCAACCCCTTCTACTTTTGGGTCATGGAAGAACAGTGACACAAACCACTCTCAGTGGGGTTACTGCCTGCTTTGCACTTCTGCTGGTACCCTGCAGCACAGCTGGCTCCTGCCAGCAAACAAAAAGCTCTCAGCATCACTCTGGACTGTGTCACCCACAACTTCATACCAGATGAGAGAGTAAAGAGACAAACATCTCTTGACTGGAAATTGGTCAGTTCCCATGTTAYATAAATCCTGAAAACATAAATATGATTATAAAACTGAGCTGTATGAAGCCACAGTGAAGATTGTATAATCTCTGCCTCTATCACCAAAAAATGTCCCTCTTTTTTTTTTTAACTCTATATCAAAGAGACTAAAACCAAAAGAATGAACCTGAAACACCAAAGCTCAATTATGATGAAGGAAAAGAATTTACTTTTTGGATAACACTAGCACATACCACAGATACATCCTGCTAGGCATAAAAGCTTCATTTCTACACACACAAAAGAAGACAGATGCAACCCCAACAACCAAGTCATAGAGAGAGGAATCCCAGTCCCCCAGAGAGAGGAATCCCAGTCCCCCAGAGAGAGGAATCCCAGTCCCCCAGAGAGAGGAATCCCAGTCCCCCAGAAAGAGGAATCCCAGTCCCCTTCCAGGGAAGCCTCAGCCCCAGGGATCAGAGGAATACACAGCACTGTGAACAGTGGAAAGGGTCCAGAGCAGTTCAGAGACAAAAAGAAAGTTCTGCCCATGAGAATACAGATTTTGTTATGGGGAAGAGAGAAAGAGCTTTCAGAGACTGCACAGGACTTGAATGTTTAACAAAGGAACTGCAGGTGGGAGGAGGGAGGGATCAAGACACTCTGAGCAGGACAAACAGCAAAATAGATGGATAAAGGGGTAAAAAGGACTGGTGGTGTAAAAACAGGGCACAGCCTGCTTAGTAGGCTTGTCTGGCCATGTCTGCCCTGTCTTCTCCTTAAACTCCATTTCTAACTCTCACCTTGGTGACAGAGCCCCAGCCTATACACAAGCAGTACACGGTGCTGAAGGCACCATGGTGTGGGAATGTAGGTTTGGGAAAGTGARGATTTGTTTGTTTTGGTGACTAGAAAAAWTTTGGGAGAATAGTTATAAATAAATATAGGAAGGTTACTTTATAGGGAATTGAAAGTTATGGGAAAAAAACAGAGAAGGAATGAGAAAGGGAATACAGAAAAAATAAGCTTTACTTATTTTATACATTGTATGCCAATAAAGATTGATTGTTAATCGTTTGAATTCTTATAAAATACAAGGCTTCTTTATGATAAATGGCTTTGCATGCAAAAAAAACCCAAAACAAAGTCCATGTGTCAATTACTGGCACCGTGGAGTCCACAGAGACCCATCTGCAYGTGTGTGTCTGTGCAGAACACAGCTCTGCTGGGCTGCTCCAAATTGGGCAGATCCAAATGTGGAGGACAACAGACCAGGAAATATCAGTTTTATCATACAGTAAGGATAATGAAATAAAATAAGAGACAAACCACTGAAAAATGTCCCAAAGTGTTGGGTTCTGGATCCTCTGCAGTTGGTTGATGCAGTAATTTTTCATTGTCTTCTCAAACAGAGTCTTGATTTTTTCATATTCTTGGGAATCGTAGCTGAGCTGTATCAACTGAAAATGTTTGAAACACCGAAAATAAGGTATTAGTGAAAATAAGGTATTTTCCCATCTGCTGAAAAGCCCTACCACAAAAATTACCAGCTGCCTGGTGGAGGTTTTACCTTAATCTGATACCCTACAGGGGTYTCCTTCCCTACAGGGCTAAGCTGCAGTTTCACCACAGCAAATAACATTCTGCCTCAAATGGACAGGGGAAAAAGCCCCTTCAGATGCAATTCATCTGGTTTGGCAGAGGATGAAGTGCCTTGGGAGYGTGCAGAGCACAGGCAGGGGCAGCAATGGCCTTTCTTATTCTGTGTGGTATCACAGGGGTTCTCAGTGAGCCTCCCAGGAAATACATAAATATGAAATTGTCAATCTTCTTCCACACTGTGGCTGCTTATTTTATAAACATTTAAAATCTGGCAACATCTCAATTGCCATGAATCATGCTCTTGGAAAAAACCAGCACAGGATACAACTCTCCCCACCCACTGGAGAGCTGAAAAGTCCTACCTTGAAACCGATATCAGGGAGTGCAGTTTGGTCCCACTGTGGAGGATAGACAGGATGTGACAGAGTTGTGTTTTGGCTRCAGAACAGAAAAAGGAGCAAGTCAGACAATGATTCCCCTAACCAAATCCAAGTATGGGCTCTAAAGCAGCCTTCAGGCATCCATTCAGGAGCTGTAGTTTCCATTCAGGTGCTATTTTATATTTTATTACTTTATATTTTATTACTTTATATTTTATTACTTTATATTTTATTATTTTATATTTTATTATTTTATATTGTATATATTCAGGAGTTTGTTTTCTTTTTGAGTGAACACACCTTTGGTTGAACTTACACTTTAATTGAACCCTCAGCTTCATGTTCACCGTCAGCTGGTGAGTTTCTAAAGCAAAGACAGATTATTAAAATCAATCAGTAGCAMAAATAACATTTATAGCAGAGATGTCCAAATTCTGTTAAGCTGAAGTAGCTTTAGAAAAGATAGGTTATCTCAAGAAAGTGCTTCTAGTTCATTTAAGTGGATTTGCCTGTTCTGTTTTAATTTATCCCCAGCTTTCCAAGGGATGACATCCAGATGCACCACAGCTCTTGGGACTGGCAGTCCCTTGCTCCTACTCACTGCACAGTTTATTTATTAATGTTGGGGCATAAATGAAGGCACAAAAATCCCTGGCACGGTCGTGCCAGCCCAATGTGGCCTTGTCTCTCACTGAGAGAACAAATCCACTCCAGTGGTCCCTCACAGCTGCCAGACTGCCACCCAAAGTCCCTCCAGAGAGCTTCATGGAAGCGTTGCATAATTCACAAATACTGTCACTGCAAAATGTACCGTTAAATCAGCAACAGGTATCTAAAAATGAATTTAAGAAATACRAAATTGCATTCTAGGCAGGGAAGARGAACTTCTTAGCAGAAAGGTGATGYCCTCCAGAGACAYTGTTAAGCAATGAATTTAATTACCTTCCATCTTGTCCACCTTCAGACTGTTTTGGCAGCCGAATGACAYTTCTTCGAGTTTGAAAGACCACATTTGTTTGGACCATGTCTTGAAAGAAAAACACAGTAACTCAATAATGACATAATTCATTTTCTAGGGACAGRCTCTTAAACATGAAGTAAAAACAAGTGGTGCTCTCTCTACCCCACCCACCCCAGTCCAAACCCCATAACCATTCCCATTTGCACCACTCCTGCTTGGAGATCAGCAAGGTTCCTGACAGCACAGCCTGTCAAACTGTTGAAGACAACCAACTGCACCTGCACAAGTATTCACACCCAGGCTGCTGGCCAGAGAAAACCCCATCTGATGGCATTCCTACAGCAGGAAAGGGTTTTCAGTGCAATGGGGTGACAAACTCAGCTTTCCTGGCAGCACAGGGCTGCTCCGTGGTGCCAAAAGTAAAGCCTGCACTCTTTTCTCAGTCCTCTAACAACATCACAGAGCACACGCTGTGTAACATGGCTAATTATCCATTGTTTCCTCCTTTAAACACCACTTTTATTCATGCCAGGAAACATTTAAAGTTTGGAAAGCCAACAGGAGTTTTAAGAAGGGTAAAGAAATTAGAAACAGAAAAGCATTTTTAATTTTCCCATTTCTCTCTCTCTGTGCAACCAGTCCTAAATTTTTGTTTGCTGCACTCTGGGCTTTATCTCCCCATAAGAAGCTTACAAAATGTTTACCATGGGCTCACTTTCCTTTTTTTTTTGTTTTCTGATTTCTCATTTCTCCTTTTCAGTCATATAAACCCAAATGCATGAGCCAAGGTGCCATGAAGCATTTACTCTCAACTCTTCTTCTGAATGCACAATATTGTCAAGGATGTTTTTTTTAACTACAGATGCCCAAGTGAGGCATCTCGAAACTGCAGAAAAAATTRCCTACTGCTCAAGTTCTGCTTGGAGAAAATTTGCAGGAGGAAAAAGACCTGTTCAAAGAGATGCAGACATAGCATGAAAACTTTTAAGCCAGCTGCACTGTGCAATGAACTTTAAACAGGAGATACTTCACCTGCAAAGTCTAATTTATACTGCTGAGAGCCAGCCCTGAAGTAAATAACACCATTCTTGTCAGTTTGATACTCRTTCTCCAGAAATTCAGATGTCACAGTGGCAGAGACATGAACTGGGTGCTGCAGAAAGAACGAGGAGATTGTTAGAAACCACCCTTTGGTTTAGGTGTCCCTGTGGGGAAATACCAAAGTTTCCCCAGGTCCTGATCACAGRATGATGTTTTGAAGTCTCCAAGGGTTCAATAATTTTGCTCTGCACCCCACAGAGTACAGTCCTTGTAACAACGGCAACAAAGCAACCCCTCAGCCTGTGTGGTCAGCTCCAGCCAAAAGATATCTGTCAGCTCTGGAAAATGCACCAGGCTTCCAAAGCCTTGAAAGCCTTCACAGAGTTCCAGCCACGCTTTGAGGGRCAATTAATAAGACAATTCCAGCCAGGCAGCGGAGCAGCACCACAAGGGCACCCAGCGGTGCGTGCAGGACACGCCAGCTGCAGAACAACGCGCTCTAAACAACTCTCCAAAGATGGCTCAACAAAAGATTCTGGCATGARCAGCAGATGGATCTCACCTCTTTCCCATACTCAATCAACTGGCCAGAATCATCGAGCCAATACCAGACGTACTCCATTTCAGGGGCAGTACCAGATGGATGAGACGGGAGACAGCACAAGTGAGGAAAACCTGGGTGCYTGCTCTACCCTGTGTCAGAAAAGAAATCCAGATTAAAGCAGAAGCTGTCAAACTCTCCAATATCTCTGGTTTGATCAGAACTGTATACAATTCTAAAAAAATAAAACCCCCTCCAGCTGGGAAGTGCAGGTTTGCCCAGAACTGGCACAGTAAACACCACAGAAAGGACCCTGACCCCTCTGGCTTGCACCTGTGCTACTAATTTTCCCTAAAATGCATCTTCCTAAAAAACACATTGAAAGGAAATACATTTGGCACAGAGATGCCCCTGCAGGCCTCAGAGAAGGCCACAGTGAGACAGCCTGGGGAGGAGCATGGAGCAGAGATCCACACTGCAGCCCATGGAGAGGAACCTGTGCTACAGAAGGTTTATCCTGAAGGACTGCAGCCCATGGGAAATGAACCACACTGGAGCATGGGAATTTTCTGAGAATGATGGAGGGGAAGAGGGCAAGTCTTACAGACTGAGGACATGGATTCCCCTTCCCCTCTGCGTTGCTTTGGTAGGAGAAGGTAGAAAAATCAGGGACAAAGGAGTGAAGTTGAAACTGGGRACACATGAAAGGGGGAACAGGCAATCTAATTTTTTTTTTTCTCACCATCTAAAACTATTTTAATTGGCAATAAATTAACTTCCCCAAGCCAAGTCTGTTTTGCCCAGTGATCACCTGGTCTTTATGTCAGATCATGATTTTTTCCACCTTGTTTTCCCCCTCCTGTCCTGTTGAGGATGGGGAGTGAGAGAGCACTTTCACTTGGAGGAGGGAATATTGCAACTTACCAGCAAAGYCTCAGCTCTGCTCTCTACCTCAGAGACACAACCTACAAAGAGAAGAAGATGAAACAAGTAGCCATTAATAATTCAAATTCACGGGATTTTACTCTGCCTCCTGTTGTGCTTCACCCTCCAGAAAGTTTTGGATCCAGACAACACTTACTGTATGTATCTCATCACTTTACTGCTCCTACAGCATTGCCTGTCGTGGATCACATATCCATAGCCAAAAGCTGCTCACCTGCCAGCTGTGGAGCTTGCAAGGGTCTGTGACAGAGCTACWCTGAGCTGCCTGAAGAATCTGAACACGATATTGAAACAGAAACTGGAAATGATCACGTCTCTGACGCCCTTCGTGCTTTGGCAGGGATCACTGCTATTCAAAGCAGGCCAGTGAGAGGAAATCATCGCAGGAGCAGCTCCCCCACAGAGCTGTTTGCGGTGCAAAGGTCCACAAAACAAAGGCTTGGCAGCCCCTGGAGTGCCGGAACAAAGAGCAAGGAAGAGCCCGGGTCTCCGGCTCTTGTTCGAGCGCTGCCTGCGGACCACGGTCACGCTGTGTGTGCAGTGACACYGGCCAGGCCTGTTCCTGGAAAAATGCCTCAAATTCTTCCTTCTCTCTCATTGCAGGGCGTTCAAGGGGTCCAGCACTACCAGGAGATCTTTATGGATGTGGCAGTCTCTTTTCTCCCCTCTGCACAGCACCATGATGCTGCTGCTGGCACGGCTGAAGAACTTAAATTTGCGGATTTGATGTGTGGAATTTGAGGGGGGAAGTGGGGAGAGGGGAAATGAAGAGGAAAGCAGGGGAGTGAGGTGGGATGACATTTTCAAGCAGCTTTTCTCCACTGCTGCCCCCTCTCTGTTCCTTTATCCCCACTCCAGAGATAGGTGCTTACCCTGCCGGCTCTCCTGCCAAAATTCGGGGCTCCSAGCCTGCCCTAATCACATGAGCTTACAAAAATGTCCCCTTGTGCCCTACTTTCCCTTTCACTTTCCAGCAGCATTTCTGCTCCGTGCTGGGATTTTCCACCCACCAACTAACCCCAACTAGAAACAGACAGAGGTGAAACACTTAAAAAGCAGAAATATTTCGCTGGCAAGACAGGCAGTTCACGTTTTGCTGAAGATTTTGCTACAYGGTCTTGCTACAACTGCAAACTTGCTTTTTATATCTTAACAGGAATAACTTCATACAGAGGAAATTTTATAGTTAGAAACCTCAAACCTCATGCTACCTTTTCCCTTACACGAGACGAACGAAGGTACGAACGCAACTTACAGCAGGACAAAGTGCAAGCAGGTATTCATTCCTCCGGCAGAGCTTAAAGCCGAGCCCACAAGCCATGAACTTCCTGTGTGTCCGGCCCTCCCCGCTCAGCCCCACCYTGGGAAGGCTGTCCGAGCACAGCACGCTGCCCTTCCCTGGCACTGCTGTCCCCAGTGCCCACCCTGGCGAGCTGAGGSCATCATCCCTGTGCCCACCGGGCTGGATGAGCTGCCCCACCCTTGTTCCGCACGGTGAAAGCGCCCTGGCTGCAGCATCTCCTTGGAAAGGGACACACAGCTGTCCTGGGAGAGCTCYCTCCCTGCGAGCTCCCCACCGCCCATCTGTACCTGGCTGTCTCCCTGGCAGTCCCTACCGTGGGCTCACGGGTGTCTCTTCGCCACCGAGCCTTGGGAAGCGGGGCTGGGTGACATTTCCCCCCGGTTGTTGCGACAGACAAGGGCGAGCGGGCCAGGCACAGCCCAGGGCTTTGGCAGCTGCGGCTGCAAAATCAACATCAGCCCGAGCCAGCAGTGCTTATCCCTGCTCCTGGGGTCCTGTCATTGCACACCAGCACTTCCTAAAGCCAGCTCTTCCCAGCTTTCCAGTGGAGTGGGATATTCAGGACCTTCTCCTTTCTGCAAGGAGCAGTTCTGCTGAGCACCATTCTCAGAAAGCCAAAAGTTGATGTCACCTTGCAAAGCCACCCCCAAACCTCAGTGCAGAAGGTGGGTGCATCGCTGATCCCACTGTCCCCAGGGTCACAGATGGCTCTGCTGAGGTTGGAGATGGTTCTCTTTGAGCCACACAACCCCACGGAGCCCTGCCAGACGGGCTGGCTCGGCCCCCACAGCTCTGCACAGCCCCAGGCAGGGGATTCCTGTACYCTGATCCTCCTCTCTGCTCCTCCCCACAGGGATCAGGCAAGGCTTAGGAGCTTTCCAGCCTGACCTCCAACCTTCCAGAAGCTGACAGCGTTTCCCAGCAGAGCACTGAGGCATAAAGCTTAACAACAGGTCAAGGGGACTTTCTTGACTATGCAAACTTGTTCAGATGCAAGCATTCCTTTAACTCTTTTTCCCTCCTGATTGTGTTCAGCTGAATTGCCCAGAACATTTTTATTTCCTGGTGATCCAGTCACACCAGATCAGCAGTGGCTGAAGCACATAGATCTCTGAGTTTCCTGAAAGGGTGCACTCTGAGTGCATTTTATAGACATAGCATTTAAAAAAACAAACATAGCAACAAAACCCTAGCACACACACACACAAAAAAACCCCCACAAACCCCCCCAAAAAAACACAACAAAACAAAAAACAATACCACAAATGGGATTATTAAACTGAACTTACTTTCTTTTGCTTCTGGCCATTCTTGAAGCTCCAAGACCTTCAGTAGGCATGAGATAGCAGCGTTAGGAAGAGCATTCTGATGGAAAATGTTTATAATCTTTGCTGGGAGCAGCACACCATCCTCCTTAAAAACAAACAACTCTCCACAAACTGGAAACTTGAGCTCACCGTAAACTGATACCTTCTGAACATCATCCTTTTTATTTTTATCCCCTTTAATTGCAACGTCATCCATGGAGCTGTTAAACATCTGATTTCCCAGCCATGGCATTATATCTGCCTGCATTCCCAGAGTCTGACAGGTCTTGGAGCAGACATCCTATGCATAGCCCTGCAAGATCCTATTCCTGCACACTCAGCAAAGGCACCCAAGTGTGGTTTCCCTGCATATGTCAAACGATTTATCCTTTATAAAGAAACCACGGTCCAGCAGGTAGCATTACTTATCTTCCTCACAGAAATTTCAATTCGTGTTCACTTCTTCTGTTGCCTTTTTTAACCTAGCAATGAAACTCGAGATAATTTCAATATAGGAGGTAACATAAAAGCAGGCCTTTATTGGAGAAAAAAAGGCAAAAATCACTCTGGCATTGTTTCTCTTCAGAAGGAACAGACAAAGAAGGGACATTTCACCCCTCCTCTGTGCCTTTGTGACACAGCAGCTCTGTTGCCATTTCAGACTGCTCTCCAAGGTGTGCTGTGGGAGTCATGATGCTACAGCATGTGCACACTGTGGGTGGGCTCAGGAAATTTTGGGGTGATGGGCTTACCTGGTGCTGCAAGGTCCTCTTCAGGTTGGTTCCCCAGACACCCACTCTGGGTCCTGACAGAGAGGTGCTGTGGGAAGTTGTGCCAGGGGGTTTAGCTTCAGTAAAACCTGGCCCAAGGAGGGACTGGCTCTTTCCTGGGAGCCTGGAAGCATTTCCAGACCTTATTTGAAATCATTCTATCACTTAAACCCAGAATCTTCTCCTGTGGGTTGTGATGGTTTCCCCAGTGAGGATTTTCCCAGTGGGACTGTGTTTCCTGGTGGACAATGTCCAGCAGTTTGTAAATTAAATTATGGGAAAGTAAGGGGGGAACAAGCCCTGCAGCCACACTGCTGCTGTCCCAATTTAATTCAGCAGAGGAATATGAAACAGTCATTACAAGACTCATAATTCTCAATTGCTTTGAAAAAAACCCCAACTTTAGCTCCAAAATTTTACACATTTCAGTAGTTTACATTGGATTTGTAAATGGTACTTTGTTTTTATTTTAAGTACRTAAATGTTTGATACACCAGGATTTAAAAATGCTCCAAGTTCTGCTGCTCCTCTTTCCAGCAGTTATTAGAGAAGCTCAGCATGCTACTTTCCCATCTTTTAGGAACTGATTAACAATTACATGATTGTAAATAACTAATTGCTGTTTTATCTGGACATAACATTGCCACATTAATAATGTAAACCAAAGTAATCCAATAAAGGAAACCTTTCTTAGGCCATTAGTTCAAATGAGCATTTATGGATTGAATCAGCAAGTCATGTGCAATCAGCAAGTTAAAGCTTGGACATGAAGTCACTCATGTCTTCATACAGCACCAAAAGATGCACTTATTCAGGAATGTGCCMAAGTCTCATCCATGGTCCTGTCTAATTAAAGGAGGAATTGTATTTCACTGGAGTTGGGCCAAATTCTGAGTTTTCAACTTCACTGGTGAGGAGTGCGTGTGGGAAGTTGGGAGMGGGACCAGGATCTATTCTGTCATTTTCTAGTTGGTATGTARCTGATTTTTTWAAAAAATCATTTGTACATTAAAAAATGTCATTTAAGAAAGGTAAAATTCAAAGTTGAAAGATTATTTCAAAGCTAAAAAACCTCATTCTGCTTATACAAAAATCCAAGCAAAACATTCTGACCTTACCTCGTTAATACTTGAATTTCAAATATCTTCTCATTAGCTGAATCTGCACTTTCTGATGAATCAGATTTTATCCCCCTGCCTTCTTCTTTCTGATTCATCTGCCTCATCTCTAATTTGCTCTCCCCAACCCTTCCCCTTGTCCACAGACAGGCCACTACAGAAAGTTTAAAACTTGCATTTGGCTTCCATGTATTGGATTCTAAGTTCTGCAACATGCCCCCTTCCTCTATTTGCCAAGTTAGGAAAACAAAATATAGTCTCTGCCACACACACACACACACACACACACACTCAATTTTACTCAGGACTGGGCAAGGATGCAAAATCAAGATCTTGGTTTCAAAGACACTCTGCAAGGCAAAGCAAGCTTGTGTCAGAGAATTAGTTTGCTCTTCTGAAAAAGGAAAAAGGGCAGGAACAGATCCCAACTGGCAAGCTTAGGAACACTTGCAGCAAGGTTTTGGCTCAGTCATCTTCATTTGCACTGACTAAAAAGAATAAAAGCATGGCCTGCTTTTGGTAGAATCAAAGGTGTCAAAAATGGAGTAAGTCAGTTTTATTGTCTTCTGTGAGTTCTGATGGTTTTCTCAGTAAGTCTTGATTTCTTGTTGGACAACTTCCAGCAGTAACTGTAGCTTGTGTGTAAGATAATCTGAAAGGGTGGAAAAAAAGGAAGGAAGCTTAATCCAGAGGAAATCCTGAGATATGGCTGAAAATCAGAGCATCAGCACCAATGGCTGGACAACTTTATGTTGGCAGATCACTGTATCTGTTTTCTTTCTTGCTGTATGTTTTCTTCTATTCAGTGGTTACTGATGCACCTCCATACAACATCAAATCAAAAGAAAACAAGACTTGTAACAAAAATGATAAATTTAACTCAAACCAGGCTCTCATTTCTGAGAAGAACATTGTTCCGCCATGCCTACATCCAAAGGAAATCTGTGCTAGACACCGCACGGAGTGGAGGTGTACTTCATTTATATGGCCACGTTTSTGCCCAAACCATCCTGGCCTCTTCCCCCAAGCTGACAGACCTCTGACCAACCTTTCAGCAAATAACTCTGTGCATGGGGTTACAGGGTCTGCCTACAGTCTCTCCATCCTAACTTTTGGTCTTGTTGCTCTGTGTCAGACAAATTTGACCCAGACCTGGTGATCCCAAAGATATGATAAAATTTAGTAGGAATCAGAGCTGTTTCTCCCTGTTGGTAGACCTCAGCCTYGTCTTTGTTAAAACAAATTTGGCTGTGGAGTCTGTGCCGAGGGGAAAACATCCCAGGGGTCATGATTTAGGTTTCATGAGGTCTGTTGGTCAAGGAGCAGTTTGCATTAGTGCTGAGCACAGGGARCAAACCAGCACCCCCATCCCTGAGCGTGTTTAGGTCTGCATTACTGAAAGTCAAATGYGTACTTACAAAAAAGGTTACGGCAGCGGTCTGACATCTGCCTGTGAATTATGAGGTAGTAGACTGGAAAGCCACTCAAAACCATGGTGCATCCAATGCTAATGTTCACAGGGTCTGAGTAGAAAGACATTGCCACTGTGAAGAGGCAGATGATGGTAAAAGAGAYAGGAACAAACAGGGGAACCTGGGGGAAAGAGAACAGAGGATGATCAGGAAAAACTGGTGGCCAATCAGCACACACTGTATTCACTCCTCCATCTAAAGATGAGGAGAATCATATCCTGTCCTGACAAGTGCTTCTGTAKAATAAACTGCAAACAATCCCACCAGCTTCAGAGCCCAGTGCCCTGTGAGGTTCATGCCTCCTATATTCATGTGCACCAAAATCTAAACCTCACTTGCAACTGGAAGCCAAGCAGGAGGAGAAGCCGTTCACACCCCACCGCTCTGTGGATGTCCTGCTCCTGTGCATGCACACACACACCTACTTACCACCTAAGRGAACTGCTCAGGGAAAATCTGAAGCCAAGAAAGAAGTGACATTTTGAATCAAACTGTTCTTTGCTTATAAAACTCAGGACTCATTTTGACCTGCCTCCAGCTCGCCTGAGACTTACAAAGACTAAACCAAGACAAAGCAAGCTCCCTATCTCTATAGTACCCTCATCAGGAATATTGAGCTTCAGCGACACCCTGGTGAAAATCAAAGCAGCACTCAGCACTTCAGCCATACCCTACTGGATGAGCCAATTCATCTGGGTTATTTGGAGAGCAAATAGGAACACTGCAATAAATAATAAACCTGTGAAACASTCCCTCTGTCTTTGCATCAGCCAAATAACATCTCGCCATAGCTGATGGAATGAAGGAGCTGCTGTCATCTAGGGTGACAATCTTTACCAGTAATAAAGATTGCATTTTGGATGCTCAACATGCCAAGTCGGAAGACATCAGTTGCTCCAGGTATGGCAGCCCTCCAGCCATCAAACTTAGGCACTCTTTTTGTCTTTCCAGCCAGAGCATTCCCTGCCAGCCACTCCTATATGCACACACTCACGCTGCACATCTGCTGGAGAGGTGTGCGATCAGACTGCTCCCTCCTCTTTCCGGCGTTTTCTCACTGTTTTTAGCCCAAAATGCTGCAGAGAGCGTTGAGTACCAGCAGAGTCAAGCCTATGTCAGCTTTGCTCTCTGCCGGGCAGGGGACRGCTCGTGTGCGGCCACTAGAGCGCAGCACGTCCCCGCGCCACCTGCGCACAGCCCTTCCTTCTTTCACAAAACTGATAAAAACTGGGGGGAAAGCGGGAGAAAGCAGTCAAACTGACCAAAAAGTCGCTATTTCCCTCCCTCGCTTAATCAGCGTTTAGTAGGYGCTGGAAGTATTAATCTCTAAAACAAAACGAAGCAAAACCTCAGCAACTGAAACCATCAACAGTGCTACCTGCTAATAAACCTGTCCTGAGAAGTTTGGTTTGRGAGGAAAAGCAAAAACTTATTTAGYATGGTTCTGGAGGAGGACACRAGTGCCAACCAACAAACTGGGAAGCTTCAAGGTCTCTGCTAAACGCAGAAGAAGAAAAATTACACCAAACTGTCCCCTGGAGCAAGGAGTCTTCCAAGAGATGCATCTGGTGACTCYGTGTGGAACTGGATTTATAGGATTTGCCACATCTGGCTGTTTGGGCATATCAGCTAATTTCAGGATCTCCCCTTATGCATTACTAAGCATCAGGGATTGAGACCCCCTTAGAGCTTAAAGGTGACCATGACCATGTAATGCTGTGATTAACAGCAAATCAGGGAGAGGAGTGACAGACATGTGCTGGCTTTACCTTGAAGGGGCTGTGCASCTCCGGGTGACGGAGACGATGGACGATGAGCCCGAGGGTGGCCAATCCTATGAAGAGCCATCGGGAAAAGCTGAAGAAGTTCAGGAGGTGGTAAATGTCTCCAATGCAGACCATGGCAGTGACCAAAGGGAACTGAGCATTGTGAACATGAAATGCAGACATTAAAGCCTTACTTTAACAGACTAGGTACTCGGACTAGGAAGGGTAATATGGATCAGCTCCTCCAACCCCCCTGACATTTTGGAGGTCAGAGAACTGTACAAAACGGTGTCACAGACTGAAGGCAAAAGACCTAAAGGCTTAGGTAGCTTCTGTTGTGCTGCAGAAAGGAGTGATTATTTCAATTTCAGCAGCATCTTTGGTGTCTCATGTCCAAGCCAAAATTCTGCACTGTTGGTATACAGGCTATCTACAATGACATCTGCTAAGTTTTCAGCAGGTCAGCCAAGCTGCAACAGGCACTGCGGCATGGTTTGGATGGAGCTGGACCACTGCCATTAAAAAAACCCTGAACAAACCAAAACATCAGACCAGACCATCTCTACAAATGCTCATTCCCTRCATTTCCAYCACACCTGGGAATTTTCAGTTTCMARAYAGCCAAAGCCTGGCAGAGGTGTTTYCATATSGCATTATCAAGCAGCAACTGTGGCAGATAGTAGGGACTGCACTTTAAAAAAGGTGTCTAAGGTTATAAGGCAGAGATTTCAAAGCTGTGCATTTGGATACCATGGCTTTCTCAAGGGGACTTAATACTTTGAAGCCATTTCCCGTATCCCACCCTCTTTATTTTTCAGGAGGTAATTTAAACTGCCCTTTAAACCTCTGAATTTATCCAGCCTTTGCTAGAAACYCAACACTGCAAAAGAGCAGAGCATGTCACAGAACCAGATCTCCTTACCATTAACATGACAGCAGGAAGGGGTGTATGCCTTCGGATGTGGATCATGGAGAAGAGAGGAGGCCACTGCCCTTCCCTGGAGGCCACAAACAGAGTCCTAGGAAAAGACAGGGAGCCYTGTGCATTAACATCCTTTATCCAGACTGGAAATGGGATCAGTCACTGCACTGACCTTAGACATCAAGGCACCTGACCCCTTCCCCAGCACAAGTCTGCTATTCAAGGCAACAGTTCTGCCTTTAGCTGCTCTTTCATAGAACCCTTAAATGGTTTGGGTTCAAACCCAATTTCCCTGCCACAGGCAGGGACAGCTTTCACTAGACAAGGTTGTWCAGAGTTCCACTTTGGGGYATTTRGAAGAAAACCCAAGGCTGAATTCCTACAGCTCTCCYAGGACCAGCTCAATGCAATGCAGARCCCACCATCAGAAGAGTCACCATGGCAGTGTCTCCTTGGGTGCCTCATTAGCAGAGACCCCTGGGCAAGTACAAAGTGACCATGAATGAACTCAGGCAGGAAACAGGAGTGAAAAAGTCTCTTGACACCAGAAAAGGAATTAATCTTTCCAGTGAAAAGGAAGTGGAGGGATCACMAACTTCAATCCTTTATAAGAGAAGCTGGTGAGTTTATGAAAGGGGATTGTCAGTTTTGAAGCCTATATTCTTATATATACATATATARAAAAAATAAAGTGCAATCTCCTCAAATGACAGATGATTTCCAATCCTCTGGTCAGCTGTTGGAAAATAGTTTGTCACAGTGCCAAGAGGCCAGCTACACACAAGAACAGCTACAAAATGAGAGCAGAGAGTTCTGTGCTTCCACCCCACTTTGACTCGTGAAAGAGCAATTAGGGAGAAGACAATCACATCCAATTTTATAAATTTAATATCCCCAAACAAACCATGCCAGAGCATCAGCTGGGCTGGAGCAGGGCCCAAAGCAGCTGGGGCACAAGTGTACAACCAGTTTTATTGCTGTCTCTGTGGCTTTGCAGGGGTGTGGCTGGCAGGCAGCCAGGGAGGCCCCATCAGTGTTTATAYGGACATTGTGCAGTGATTATGTTAATGATGCCAGGATGAGGGAGAGAAGGTCACTAGGGGACACAAAGAACCTCTGCTGTCCAGGGACCTCTCATCCTCCAAAAAAAACACTATTGAGAGCAGCTAGTGGGGAAGATCCTCCTCACCTGTATTTAATACAAGATTTCAAGGCAGTGGATCAAATAATTCCTTAACTTTCACGCTAGGAAACATTCCTTTCAGATCAACAGATTTTTTTCCCTTTGCAATAGAAGCTGTGTAGCAGAACCCACAGCAGAAAGTTCACTCAGCTCCACAGGACCAGCACAACATTSCTCTTCACAAGGTCTGCCCTCCTCTCCAATTTCAAGGCTGCCATATGGACACGGAGTGGGGCAGACAGTGAAGCTGGCAAGTTCATTTTTCATGGAACAAAGCTTCTCATATTGCTATTACAAGACTTCTTGAACCTCAGCAATTGTTTTAGGARTAGCCCATCCCAGTGACATTTCACTGACTTCAAAGCAAAGTCCTCAAGGGGAAGTTTGCCTAGAGAGCCTCACAAMAGAGGGACCCCGTGCCCTGCAGCAGCACAGCTGGCTGAACCCAGTGAAAGAAGACTCAGTCTCACTGAGCAGCTGCCAACATCAACAAAGCCTTTAGTTCACCAGAAACATTGACATTTCACTTTCCACTGGGGATTTCAACTGAAGGGTAGGGGAGAGGATAAAAATCTTTGTTTGTGAGCAGAYTGAGGTACCAAAGTCTGGACCTGGCCAGAAACAGAAAGGGTAAACTCTTAGCCAAAAGGGACCATCCTGTCGTTGACCACCTGGGTGTCAAAAGCCTTGTTTTTCCCACAAGAGTGGCTAAAATRCCAGTGGTGTGGATGGGGAGTTCCACAAGTTGTTGCTGCTTTCCTCTGATTCATTAAGCCAAAAGCATAATAAATCCTTCGAGATGTGACCTGGAAAATGTGAAGATTCCTCCATTCATGGTTCCAAAGCAGGACAGTGCAACAAGGACAGGGACCACGGAGATCAGGCTTTTGAAGGCTCGCTGCACAAAGCTCTGGGGGAAGAGCAAACGTGACTTTAGGAACATGTGGTGATCTCTAGGTGATATCAAGGTTAAAAAAAAAAAAACTTCTTCCACTGAAGGAATAATATATAACTCATAATTTCTCCTTTTCTACTGTCATCTGCAGGTTATTTTTCATTATCTTTTAGGCATGACTGTTGCCCAGTAATCCAAAGAAATTACAAAGCAAGGAAGCACTTTATAGGAAAAACACCTCTGAAAGACTTGCTATGGCCACAGCCTCAGCTGGCCACACGGAGGAGACAACAGGGGTGACAACTCACCACAGCCACAGCAGGAGAAGCCAGAACATCTTGTGTTCCCAGAACTGTGTAATAGGAGACGTTGGTGAGCATGTAACCCACAATTACCGTAATCACAGACACGATGACAGCCAGGGGGATATTTCTACAAGAAAGGGCAACACACACACACTAAGAACAAGCTGCTATCCCTCGTTATGCACAGTATCACTGCAGATTTTGTCTGGTAGCACAACTGATGGCMATCAGGTGAACCCACAAACTTATTCCTCCCATCCTGCACTCGGGAAAGCTGCAGGAAACCCAGGACAGCTTCCTCCCAGCCTTACCGTTCAGGTTTGACCAACTCTTCACGCACAAAGCTGGTCTGAAACCTGCACGATGGGAAGAGACGGGGTGAGAGTTTGAGCCACGCTGAGGGCACCCGTGTGCTGCCCTGAAGTGCCCTCCCGGCACCTACCAGCCTGAGTAGGCGAACATGCCTGCATAGAAAGCCAGGGGAAGCTTATCCACGACCAGAGATTGTCTGTCAAAAGCGTCCTGGAAGTTGGCGGTGTGGCCTGCAGAGGAGATAAAAAATGGATACGGAGCAGGAAAATGTCAGAGACAGGCTTCCTTCCTTGTAGGATAACATTCCTTGTACGCCTTGTCCAGACCTGGCAAGAGGGTGATTTCCTMGGAGCCAGGGATTCAGATTGATTTCATTGCTTTAATTTCAGTGCTGCTGTTGATACTTCTACTTTCCTATGCTAACATTAAAAAAAAATCTATCCCTTGTCCAGCTGTGGGAGGTATTTAAGCAAGGGGAACAACAACAATTCGTTGTTTCCAGCAGAGCGTTCTCTGGGAACAGGAGATCATGGAGAAGTGAGGATCTGCATTGTCCTGTTCTCTCTTTTGGCCCAAAATTAATSTGTTGGGTTGACCCCCATGTCCCCTCTCCAGCTGGACACACACTCCCCTTTGATGTGATGCAGCCAGCGAGGCAGCTAACTGGGCTCTCACTGTGCTCCCTCCTATTCCTGCTGCTGGAGCACTGACCCCAGCCCTGWGCTGGCCAGWGCATGGGAACCAGGCTGGAGRAGAGAAGGGGAGCAGGGAACTGMCAGTCTGAYCCACCACCACTCACTCACAGGAAAGGACACAGAGAGCGAATAAAATAAAATTTCCAAAGTAGAGGTGTRTCAGATATTTACCAACTCCTCTAATTTTCCTTCCAGTTCTCTGGTTGAAATAACAAAACAAAACATAACCAAAAAAATCAAAGTCAGGATTTTCTCAGACTGAAAAAAAATAAAATTTAGGGAAGAGAGAAACACTGCATTTGAACACAGTCAAAAGGAGCTGCATTTCCAACATTTTCAAATCCAGGTAACCTGAGGTTTGGTTCCACACCTATGTTTAATTTTCCATAATAAAGTCTCTTCAAAAGTAAGAAGTGCACCAGGCAAGGTGTGACATGCCATGGAGCATGTGGAGAAAGTCAGGCCACTTTCGTGGAGGTGTTTCTGCAAGAAGTYCAGTGACAAGGTTTTGGCTTTGAAATGCTGGCCCAGCAAGTCTCTAAAATAAACCTTAGTCAAAGAGAAGGTAATGGAAGAGGAAAGGACAAAAGTGCAACCAAAAAAAAAAATCAGCATAAGGCAGAGGAATCAGGCAAAATTATTTAAAAGCACAAAACTGATTTTAAGCACAAAAAAATGAAGCTAAATTGAAAATAGGTTTGAAGAAAASTAACCCAAAATATAGGAGGGGGCCTGTTGGGGTACTCTTTTTATGTTCTGAGAAGATGGCTGCTAAGTGATGGTGCATGAAAAGGATTTATTGCCTGCAATGCATTAATGAGCAATTTACAGTCCCCTGTGAGTCACATTAAATACAACCTGTCATACTGGAGTCTCTCAGTGAATTCTCCCTCCAGATGTCACCAGCACTTATCCTCCCCACCACAGGACGGGTGCCAGGGCTCCAGATTGTCATTTGAAGGCATTCCTAACAATAATGGCTGGGGATTTCTAGCTGCAGGGCAGTCCTTTAGTTCAGAAGTGCTGCCAGCCCAAGGGGACCTTTTCATGTTCAAAGAAGCCAGCTCCAGACATCAGAAAGAAACATGAACATGGAGCCCACTGCCTGTGGTGTTTTCTCTGCAGAAGAAGGTAACAGCATGAAGACGGAGCAGGCTTCATCCCTTGAGTGGGAATGCCTTGGGCTTTTCTATAAACTGAGCCTTGGATTAAAGCCAGTACTCTCGTACCGTTTGCAGAACATACTACAGGCAGAGTTTTTCTCCCCCATTCTGGATGTGGGTATGAAATCCCATGCCAAGTTCATTGTAAGTTCACTGAATTACTGCCCATCTTGGCTTAGGGGTAAAAAGCACTAGTTTAAGCCGCAGGAAGGTTAGTGATGACATTACCAGGGCCCAGCTGTGACCAGCTCAGGGAATACTGTCACCCATCCTAAATGTCCATCAAACATGTGCTGCTTTGGAAGATTTTGAGCCACACTGGAAACAGGCAAGTCTGACTCCAAAGAAAGGCCATCAGCAGAGGAAGGTGCCTGCGTGTCTCTGGGTAGGATGACACATCCTGTGGCACTAAGACCCACTCAGTTTTGGGGAAAGCACCACCCAGCCAAGTGCAATGATGCAGCTTGTGCCAGCCAAGCCTATCTCAGCTCCCAGCTCATTCACACCCAGCACACAACAGAGAAAGCTGCGGCACCACACTTGTCACTTGGGACTGATAAAAGCTGTGACAGAGGGGKCCATTGAGCATTGCAGACATGCAGCACCACCTACCCTGGGCCAGCAGCATCATCCCTGGCACGATGATGAGGGCAAGAGCCAGGAGTTTGATAACGGAGAGAGCCGTCTGCAGCCGTGCACTCCAGGTGACACTCCAGGAGTTGAGGGTGAGGACTGTGTCTGGAGAAAAGACCACACTGCTACAGCTGCAGCCTGCTTGACACATGCAGGAAAAAACACAGCGGCTCTCCCTGCCCTAGGGATGCTGGGAGAAGGCCCATCTTTGTGCTTTAGAGAGGATGCTTGGGGTGAGAGGTGTCTTAAAACATTACAGGTGTGGCCCAGCATACAGCATTTACAGGGGAAGCTGAGTTAGGCTCCTAAAAGGGAGCAGGATGATCCACACAGAAAGGTGGATCAGCACCCCACTTCTCAGCATTCCTGTGCCACACCAGGCAGGACAGCTTCACAGGCTGCATGCACCAGGAGAGGAGCCCAAAACCTCAAGCCTTACACTCACAACCCATGAGGCTTTTGCACAATTACACATGGAGAGTAATGTTTTGCTCCCAACCTGGCAAAATTCCCCCACCCAGGACTCCAGCTGTTCAACAGGAAGGCTCATTCCCCTTCCTGGAGAATAGAGTGTCCCAAAACCATCACCTTGAATCAGAACATTTTAGGGAGCTGGGRAGGTAAGACAGGACCCCTATCCCACAGTTTTCCCAGGAAATAACATCCCATAAGTGCTCTTAGTCTAGGGCAGAGAGGCCAGGATGGACAATCCCATGAGTGTCAGTACTCACAGTAGCCCAGGAGAGACACAAGCTTCACTGCAGGGACAGGGGCAGCACAGGGGGCAAAAAACGGCTCCAGCATGTAGCGTCCRAATGCCAAGGAAACCACAGCACTGTTGGCAGGTCTGGAGTGGGGAAAAACCAAGCACAAAGCAGTCTGAGGATGGCTGGAAAATGGCAKGAGATAAAACTGTACAAAACCTGGGAGGGAGAGCAAGATTCCCCACCTGGCTTAATCCTCTCACCCATGCAGATGGTGAATTGCCATCGAGTCTCTCTCACACGTTTTTCTCAGTCAATGGGTTAAAAAGCACATGCTGYAAAATGATTAATTTCCRACTTAAAAGCAAAAGTTGAGATTAATCATACTGAGCAATGCAAGGGTAGTTCATATGTTCTGCTTCATCTCAGCTCACATGAAGGATACAGGTTATTGAGAGGTGAGGACTCATTTTAATGTTAAAAAARGAAGTCGTTCACAATTTTATAAATKATTTAACTTGGAGTTAAGCCAGAAAGTTGTCTCCACTTCCCGAATCTGAAGCAAACAAAAAAGTTTCACCCTGAAAACAGAAGATCTGAAATAAATCTGGCATCTATTGTCAGTCTCTGCAAAATATCATGGCTCTTGGGAGATACCAACTGCCTAAGGAGAAGAGATATTCTTCAAGTACAGAACATTTTTAACATTTTTAACTATTTCCACAATAGCTCTTCTCCCTTTTATCACTAAAAAAAAAATCTTCAAAAATCATTCAGTGTGTTTCTACTTTTTCCTTTACAAACTGCCTGGACTGTTATGTGGCATCATAATTTTTTTTTTTTTTTTTTAAATTATCACTGCATTCAGGAAAGAGGCAAGCAAACAAAATCTGTCACCTGATAGCAAAAAACTCAGCCCACAGGAATAAGAAGCTTGGCAGAGGCCCTAGTGTCTCCAAAATGTAGATATAATGTCCTCCAGACTTRGTGATTCTTGTTCCAAGCTCAGCATAACACAAGGCACCTGGAAAAGTTCAGGTAGAAATGTATCAGGTAAATAATCCCATGGATTTTCCATGTCTGTGCGATTTTTCAGTGATTGAACAAATCCATTTAAAATAAGTAGTGAGTGGGAGGAAGAAAAAGGTGTTTAAAAGAACCACTTTTCCCTGGTTTTGGGTGCTGCAGTGTTTTGAAGTAAGTTTTGAAGTAATTGGCTTACCTGTCAGGTGGGAAGAAATTCTCTGTTTTRTGGTTAATGTTACAACATTCCCATGGAAGCTCTGAAGAAAGGTGTGTGATAGAAATGTTGCTCTAAACTACAAGAGGTTTCCTTTGAAAAATATCCCAGATTCTTGCTTCTCCTCACAGTTAGACTGGCCAAATGCTGCTTACAAAGCAGCTACAGCAGTTCAACCACAAGCCATGGCTGAACTGGTCATTCCAACCACATTTTTGATCCCAGGCCACGTTCTTGAGCCCTTATCTCACATCTTGACATAAATCCCTTCCCTCCTCTGAACCCAGTGGTGACATGGYCATGCCTCCAAGTCCCATGGCAATCATGCCATATTCAGGTCATGCAGGATGGTGACAACCTCAATGTTTCCTGTCTCCCTGGTGGAAAATTCACACAGAATCCCTGTTYAAAGCATCACAGGCAGAGAGTTCATTTCATTTATCCCAGTGGGTCCCTTGGAATGCTTCAAGCATGCATATAAGTGTGTTGCTGAACTCATGCAATGGGACTTGTGTATATGACCCACTTGAAAGGGAAAAAAAAAACATAAAAGAAAGCAGGCCTTTAAAATATACTGCAAAAAAGTGTCAGAGAAATGATCAGGGGAGGTCATCAAGCTGATAAAAGGGAAGAGCAAAGCAACAAATCCATCTACAAAATGCAGTAACTCGATAAAGAGATTCCCAAAGCCCTTCCAGCAGCATGTATCAAAGGATGCTGCAGAGGGAGAAACCTTTGCAAGCGAGAGCTTGGGCTGTGTGATTAGCACACATTATTTAGTGTTCTGCTTGGTTAAAAGAAATGCCGTGTTCATATTATATTGTAAGGTTTTCTTTGAGGAAAAGTGTATGATTCACCAAACAACCACACACAGGTTGCAGTGTGAAATACTGGTACACGTGCTGAGAGCAAGAACAACTTGTTGCCCTACTAACAATTGAATGTCTCGATTTCTAAACTTGCAYGTACATGTCACAGTCTCAATATAGGGTTTCTTTCATGTGGGGTTTCWCCTTTCTTTGCTTTTTTTGTTTCCTAAGTTACAACAGAAGAAAAATGTTGAAGTCACCCACTGTAATAAGCAGATTTCTCTCCTGAGCTAATTTGCAGTTGTCTTAATAGAACCTTCAGAGAGTTTCTAAGATGGTGATTATATACAGCTAATGAAAGAAACTAACAGCTACATGTTTTATCCACTGTAACTGTTAAGAACTATGTTAATTCAGAAGAACTAGAATGAAACTGTCAGCAGAAAGACAACCCTCGGTGAGAAAAGACCAGTATTAAATGACAGAATTCAAGCCAAGAGTGTGACACAAAAAGTGGGGCTGATCTGCTCCATCTCCTGCTCCCAGGCAGTATCAGACATATCCACACCATTTGTGGATAGGGACAAACACCCTAACCCATCCCAGGCTGGAGAATAACCTGCATCTCCCCAGAAAATCTGTTCYAGTGCTTCGCTGTTCTGTCCAACAGAAAGGGGATCCCATGTGGCATTTTGGGACTGTCCTTTCCTGCCCTCTTCAGAGTGCCTGTGAAATCACTGCACAGCCCCCAGACTCCCTTTTAGCTGCCTACATCTCCCTTCCACCTCATAGAAACAGTCCACTCATTCTCTCCCAGCTTTCCTGGCAGAGACCACGCTGTCTCCATTCACAGCCACTGCCTCTCCTTTGCCCCGGACCTGCACATGAATTGATTTTCAGGGACCATAAGTGATGGAATTTGTCCATTACCCCAGTGAAACAATTTGAACTAAAAATGCCAAGTGACCACCCCCTGACTTCTTAAACCTTTGTTTTTCTTACAGTAGGAATCAAGAATTTTGGYTTTCTTCATCTCCCAACTTTCTAAACACAAAAACATGCAGGCTCCCCTCACCTCCCAGGTGCTTAAGCAAAGGCTGCCAAATCTCACCACTCACCAAACATGGAGAGGAGCCCACAGGAGAACCAGACGACCAGGGAGAAGCCCACGCTGCCMGAGTTTTTCAGTACTCCTTTGGGGGAAATAAAGATGCCACTGCCAACCATGCTGCCGATGAGCAGTGAGAAAGCCCGCAGCAAAGTTATCTTTTTCCTCAGGAAGATGGCCTCTTCTTTCTTGTTCTTCCCCATGGTTTCCTTCTAATCACAGGTGAAGTTCACACATTCAGGAGCTACAAGTGTCCTCAAGGCTCACCTGTAAGGCAAGGAGTTAAGGATTTGAGGATCTTCTTTTCTGGAYAAWATTTTTTTCCAGTAACCTGTCAAGWGCTGTTGAATTTGTTCTCCTCATCTGCAGGAAGTGYCAGCCAAACCACGGGTGCACAGAACACCCTTGGTATCACCTCTGTCATCGGTACAGCTCCTGAGWGACACTCTGAGGTTTTTCTGCTTCTTCTGCAAGGCAACACAGGCATTACGTGTTGCATTCCAGCCACACCTCAGGATGATTTCCAAATTTGACTTTGATGCCTTGAACTGGCCAGTTTAGGGTTAATTTAATGGGACCTACTGTGGGGGTACACTCATTTCAGTCGCTGGCAGAAAACATTTAAAGCTGCAAGCCTAACATGCAAGACCTTGWGGATCTCTGGGGTTAGAAAAACATCGAGCTGCATCAATTGGTGCACAGAGATGATTTAGGCTTTTTTAACTTCCTGTTCATCCTAGCTGAATGAACTAGCCCCGATGCTCTCATTAGAGATCCGTTTTATGAGTGTTTTTTAATAGTGTCAAGCCTTTTTGCTTTCAAAGTATCGAGGAGTCAGGAATAAGTACTGTTTACAACTCTAAGACGGAGCTTAGTCATTATTAACAGATGTGTGTCATTTCTTCTATTAATATAAAAACTTTCTTGGTAATAACAGCAGCAGTGAAGCTTTTCCTAGAAAAGAAGGAACTTCAGACACTTCAGGGATCACAAGCTGATCCAGATTTAGCTCTCGCAAACTGCGGCAACCTCCCACTTCCCCGCCTTGTCTCTCCCGTCTCTCTCTGTCACTCCTAAGTTGGCAACTTCACCAAAACGCACCTTTTTTTTGGGTAGGTGAGTCGAATTCAGGTCAGTTAACACAGCCTAATTTGCTGCAGTGAACCTGGCTGCAGTTTTACACTGCTAATTATCCCTGGTAGAGCAGGCAAGACAAGTCTGGAGTAGATAATTTGGCTCTTGTCCAGCCTCCCGCCACACATCCCCAACAATGCTRACACCTCGGCTTCTGTGCTCTTTTTTTTATTATTCTAACTCAGTAAATTGCATTATGGTGAATATTTGCCCCAGCCCCATGGCTGTATATTATTGCAGAGTTAACCCTTTACAGGAGACCCTATTTTAGGGATTTCTTGAATAATTTAGTAATTGCAGCAGTGTGTCCACAAGGAGACAGCAGTCACCTCTAGAAGCCGACTTAAGCAGCCAGAAATTAATTTCTTGGTAGAGAGATGAAAACATTCCCCTAACTTTGAGGGGACAATTCTTGTTAGCACTCACCCACAATACATCTTTGCATGCCCTGTGTAAGCTCAGGGGAACCAAGGTCTGTTTTCCCCCATCCCCAGCTGTTTTCCCACCTGGAAGTCTGCAGGAGGAAGTGAGTTATCACTTTCTCTGGGCACATATGACAAACACATGCAGAAAGCCCTTTCTCCTGCCAGCAGCACGAGCTGGTTTCTCTGAGACTGAGCCAAGCCTGCACAAGCATCTTCTCAATCAAATCAGCCAAGTTTAGTTATTAAACCTCTAATGAGTCCCGGAGGACTCTTTAAGGCTCAGATGGGTCACATCAGCCTGGTCTGCTCCCACAGAGCTGATCCTCAGAGTCCCAAAMCCTCACAGGGTTGCTGGAGACAGCGGCTCTGGAAGAGCAGGGAGAGACCCCTGGGAGCCTCCCAAGCCCTCAGCTGCAGTTCCCTCAGACACCAGTTAATTACCTTAACGTGAAATACCAAYATCATCTGGTATTTCTCAGCTGAAATGAGACCCACACTGCGTTCATTTGCAGGGGTGAAACAGCCCCACCAGGCTGAAACAAAGCTGAAGAGAGGAGCTGTGCACAGCTATGTCTAAAGCACTGGTTGGAGATAATTAAAAGGGCACTTATCTGTTTGGCTGGGTTTTAAACAAAGCAGGTGCATTGACAATCCATCAGACTCCCATTTCTTGCTGGGATCCCGAAGCAGCAGAAGACGGCGTTTCTTTGCAGGCTCTGAAATTACACAGAGAGARGAGGGGAGGAACCAAAAAAAGGAGAGATCAAATCAAATTTACAGACCAGGTTAATGATCCAAAGTAAACACCAAACTCTGTACTTCTGTCCACATGCTTTTTTTTTTTTGCTTTTTTTTTTTAAAATACTACTGAACAGTCCGCTAAATTTGAGAAACATGAAATCTAGCCGTACTTGTTCCCAAAGTGGCTGAAGGAGAAAGAAAAAGGTGGAAAAGGAAAAAAAATATAAAGAGTAATAGAAAGCTATTGAATAGGACTTCAAAGAGTCACCTAGCGGAGTCTACAGCCTGGAGACACCATTCCTGCCTGCTCTGCTTTCCAGCTACATTCCAGCACCAGGCACRTTAAAATGCAGGGGTGTTAATCCTYGTGGCAATGCTTAAGAATATYCACAATGTGCTTAGCACAAAGGAAACAGGCAAAGCTGCTTTTTGTGCACCCCCTTGACTTACACGATAGGCTCAAATCCTTCTCGTCCCAAAATGCAGTACCTTTTCGTGAGAGACATCATCAGCTAGTAGGGCTGGAGAAAAAAACATTTCTCAAACCTATTCCACACCACTTATCACACAGGCTGGATCTTTCCTCCCTCATTCTTCATCTACACTGATTTGATTGTTGTTTTGGGGTTTTTGAGCTGTTAATCTTACCTCACAAGCACCGCAGCCTGGACRGAGAGGGAGGAGACAGGCTTAAAGAGGGAATCATGTTATTTGTAGTGGTGTCTAGAAGCCCCAGCCAAGAGCAGGACCCCATGTGCTCAGCACAGAGGCAGAGTGGATGTTAYTCTGATGAAAAGCTAGTGAGATAAACAAGCGAGTTGGAAAGGAGAGGAGGGAGACAGCATCACTCTCAGCTGGGGAGCTGAGACCTAGGACAAGGAGTGACCTTCCTCCGCCTGTCACGCAGGAAGCGGGTGGCATCCCTGGGAAAACACACTGCACTTCCAGAGTCCACTTCAATCACCTGCATCCCCCMAAAAAACAGCCCAGCTACTAGGGAATAGTCCTAAATATTTGCAGCTGTATTTTCCTCGTGTCCTCAATCAATACCATGTAGCCAAGAACAGGTTAACCCTTTCCTTTTCAAAATGCAAAAGATGCAGGCGTCAAACTATTCCTTGCAGTCTCATTACCTTTTTCTTTTTTGGTGCCAAAAATGTCACTCTGCTTCAATGTCTACCACAAGGCACAGAATCTAACWAAATAAAATCAGCAGTGAATGGGAGCTTTTTTATTCATGCATGAAAGCAACATAAATAAGCTTTAATGAGGCTGGTGGTGGTCTGTTCTGGGAACTCAGTCAGAAAATCTATTTAGGAGACCTGAGAGATGTTTGTTTATAGACCAAAATGAACACAAGAAACAGGCTGAAAGGACGAAACATGCAGCTCAACTTCTTTTCAGCCTTCTACAGCTGGTTTGCCACCCTGGATAAGAAACCAGAAGGGACAGTAGTTAATAAATCAGGCTCAGGCTCGCAGCCCCAGATGTAGTAATAAATCCATGCAATTGCCTTAGGTGTAAATGTAAAAAATAATTTCCACTGGCTTCTCTTTCTACAGAGTTTCACAAATATCATCTTGTGAACTGYCTGTCAAAAGACTACTATTTCCTAATAATTCTGTCTTAATGAATTTTTTTTTGCCTTGACAGCAAAATTGCTCTTGGTCACAGCACTTCTGTCATCTCATTTAGGCATTTCCAGTTATCCTTCATACAAGGGTAACCTTTTCTGGAAAACAGGCTGCTGGCATTGTTAGTCTGGACTCTTGGTGATTATGAAGATGACCTTTTAACTGAGAACTTAAAAAGTGTTGAATCCACACTTTGGACTCAACACTTTGGCTAAAAATTGGACTAAACCAATTTATGACCAAGGTTTTTTAAGCAATTAAATTTCTGTTGGTTTCAGAGTTCCTTCCTACCAGGATTTATATTCTACACCAAGTTTAAAATTCTTCATTATGCTCAGTCTGACAGAGCAGACGCTCCAAATGGAGATGTTCTATAATCTTATTGTTRATTGATTTTCACAGGATGCACAGATCATATAACATCATCTCACTTTTCTAAGCATCTGATTMTAACTCTCCACTCAACTGCCACAAGGAACTTGCACATTAATGTTGTGCAGGAACATTGGCCCTTTTGTGAGTATTTCTTCCTCACATGCTGCCAGTGATACGCAAAACACGAATTTGGAGAGATGCACACCTGATGAAGAAAGACTCCAATCTTCTTCTACAGCAACAGCAGTTAAAGACTGTAGAAAAGTGCACCAACATCCCTGTATGATGAACTAACACTATTCCTCTTTCTWACAAGCAGGAGCAGGGAATACCCAAGGATTTGCCTCCCAGCCCATCAGATCCAAACGAGCAACAACACCCAAAGGACCAGGCACTGGAGAACATGAATCCTAGGGGAAAAAGAAAACCCCATAAAAACACTTAACAAGAGACTGTCTCACATAGTTGTKCTTTCTGAGGCCAACATCTTGGCTCAACATTATCTCTTGTGGGGCACAGTGCAGGGAAGTGTCCTTAGAGCTTTGTTCTTTTGTGGACGGCTCTCCAAGTAGCAAGCTGTTTTTGCTCTCCAGATCAGACCTCCTCCCTGGAACAAGACAATTTGTCCTACTTGAAACTGTTTTCTTAGCTGCGTAAGACAGAACACAAACAAAAATAAATCTAAACATTTCTAGCAGAAGACACCCAGCAGAGAAGTCTAATGTTGTACCAAAGTACGGCCAAACTTTCCCCAAATGAGAATTCTTCTCAAGCACTTCAAATTAAAAAAAAAAAATAATAATAATCCCATAATAGAGCAACATCCCCCCTGATTCCAATGGTTTGTGGTCTCAGGATTTGTCTGCCTTTGACCTGGAGCTGGGCAGTGCCAGTGCTCAACAGCTCTGGCTCCTGCAGGGAAAATTCCTCCATGAACCAGGTCTTTGTTTTACCTCAGGCCATGGCTGAGGGCTGTAAAAGGCTCTGCTTCCTAACCACTGCTTGGTGATTTAGCAAAAAAAAAGAAAAAAAAACAAAAAAAAACAAAAAAAAAACCCCAAAAAAACCAAGTTGAAGAGCCTCAGGCTGCTCCATGGAGAGTTGTTTATCACCCTTGGGGTTTGCATGGTGGGGTCTCCATCAAGGCAACTATTCCCATGCAGGTTAATCCCCAAACCTCTCCAGAAATATCCTGCAAGAACAAAACRCATTTCCTGAATGGGGAAAAGCACCAGAATGGCCATGCTCATCACCAGCTTTCCTCACAAAGAGGTARTTCCTCATTATTTCATCCTGCCATGGAGACAGCTCTTTGCTGGAGTCAGAAGAAACCCTCAGCTGCTTTTGCTGTTGTCAGATGGCCGGCCCCATCCATGGGGGTTCCTGACCTACCCTGCTTCAACCATCTGGAATGGAATCCTTCGAGAGCTGACTGAAGTAATAAATTCCCCTTTCCACATTGCTTCGTATATTACTTTAGTTTCCCCCTTAATCGCGCTGATGATTTATCACCTCAAGCCTCCCAGCTCCCCTCAGACTCGACTGYGTTTGCTCCTTCCCTTCCCACCTTCGAGGAATTCCAAAGAAAATTTAAACATTAAAAAACAACCACCCATTTTACACCTGCATTAGGCACTGGCTTTGATTGCTACTCACAGTCAGTGTTTTGTCCTCAATGTCCCAACTCTGGCACCTCACACATGGCCCAACCCCTGCCTCAAACATACCTCAGGGTGGGGGRATCTCTCCTTTTGGCCTCTCTGCTCAGCTGTTACTCATTTATTAAAACATAAGCCAAACACACAATTATGCTGGAAGGAACATGTTTCCATGTTAGGCCCTTTTTGGCTCTTATCCAGTGCTTTTCAGGCAATGAGGATTTATATTTTACTATGYGAAGTTTGAGATTAATTCCTTACCATTCCCCAGGCCTCCGATGGAAGGAAGGGGAACGAGAAGGGTTTTCTGTGAGCTCTGCCTCATCCCCCAGGGGACAGCAAAGGAACACAMGTCCTGCTCTGTCCTGGGCAACAGGGAGCAGTGACTTGGAAAAAAACAGCATTTGTCTTTTTATATGATATATACCATATTATCCCAGCCCCTGCCAGCTTCCCAGAGCCATGGGGATGGCTCAAGAGGCTAATCAAACACCAAACTCATGTTTTTTTCAGGTAACACACAGGCCAACCCCCATTTTCACTCGTATTTAGTGAGAATCGGATTCTAGGAACAAGCCTGTCAACAAAACCAGATCAACAGGCTCACTGGGAAGGTTAAGTCAACACAAGGGCATGTTTATTCAATTTTAATGTAAGTACAGTCATGGAAGTATGTGCTGGGAAGGATCTCTGGGTGCCTCTGGCGCTGTCTCACATAAGAAGCAAGATTATTGCCAACACTGTCTCACATCATCCATTGCTTTGTCTTAAACCCCSTCAAGAGCCCCTGACCTCTCTGGATAACCTGTTCCAGTGCTGCACCACCATCCTTTGGAAAAGCTTCTCCCAAGGCCACTCTGAACATCCCAACCACTGCTTGCATTTCCACAGCTATCACTGCAGAGGTCACCAGGAGCTCACCCTCACAGATCAGCTCACAGTGGCCTTTGGTGATGGTCCTTGCCACCCCTCCTCCTCCAGCCCCAGAGYCTCACTTCTCTTCAGCTTTCCCTGAAGCCTGTGGACTCACACTGCTATGATGGCTTAAGAGCAGAGAAGCAATAAAAGGCAGCAAGTGGATTCTCCCCTCCAATCTGGAGGCTCCAGCATAASTCTGATACCCCGAGCTCCACACTGAAAAGACCTCCAGCCTTGGAAACTCTATTTTTGGCAGGTTTTTTTTTCCCCTCATCTTTT